CAAGTAGAAAGGGGCTATATTGAAATTAAATAACAACGTTCAAAATGAGAATTACTTATCCCTCTACAAAGAATTCAAAACACAGCTTAGCATAGAAGTCTCTTGGATGCCATCCTTTAGAAAGCAGCCACTGGTGTATTAAAACCAGAGTAAAACTTCATGAGAGATATGTCTTTTTCTTCCCCTTTTTATAGCCCCAAGATTTCTTTGTTCTTACTTAATGGTAATAGTCACATCCATCAGTTTATCTGTAACAATCGTGCCAAGGACATGGTGTCGAACTGCAGTGAGCGTCAGAATACTAGGAGAGGACCTGTAAACCAAAGTAACAAATAGATGAATTCCAAGGTCCCCCACCTAAAGAAAATAACCAGATGTTATTTAGCCAAGTTTGTGCTCCCATCCCCAAGCTTGAAGTGCTTTACAAAAGACAACATACAAATTACACAGCAAAGCTGTAGTGCTGAGCCGAGAGCATACTGGAGCATTTTCCAGCTCTGAACCCCAAACCACTGCATGACGCTGGCCAAATCAATTCCCTCCTTTGTGACTCCTCTTTCCTCTCAAGCTAAAGCTGATTTGGTTGATTTAATACGTACAATCCCTTTAGCCACAGCACAAGGACACTCAAAAAGTTTGTCATACTATACAGTTCACCAAGATGTACCAAGTCTAATGGTGCTTTGCTGCCAAAAGGGGATTTCTGCTTCTGCTTCACTCATTTTCTGCTAGTTCTAATGGTCAGCACGTCTCTCTTCGAAGTACTTTTGTAAGTACTTCAAAGTATTTACTGTAAGTACTTTGAAGTACTTACACTAACACAGCAGAAAAGAAACAGATTTTAATACCAAATTTGTTTTCTGTCACGTTAATGAATTACAAGTAGTCTGGGAGCAGAAATCCTCTTTTTGGAAGCAAAGAGCCATTACGCCCATTGCCAGACCATAACTTGTAAATAACCAATAAAATACGGCTGACTTGGGAAGATCAGCACTGCTTACTTGTGTTTAGACGAATATTTATTCAGCTTACCAAAACTGGGGTAAGCAGAACCAAATCACCACGGAGTCATGGCACTAGGGACATACAACAGTGGTATATACTTCCTAGTAAACTTACTATCCTGTCTTTTGCATTTCAACTCTCACAAGTAATCAACTGTTTCCACTGAAATATCTCTGCTCTGTTACAAAGCAAAACCAACATTAAACAGAGAGAAGGCCAATGAAAATATCCATTTAGAGTAGCAAAAGCATCTTTAAAGCCTATCATTAGTTGATTATTTTTTTGAAGACTAGGAAGGGCAAGAGAACGCATCTGATACACTTTGCTAAAGCTCCCCTCTATTGGTTAGAGCCAGTCATAGCAACACATCTTGCATTGCTGAAAGAAAGCAGCTGCAGCAGAAGGAAGCTCTATGAAAGCATGCTGATAGGCATAAGATCAAAACCAGATTTTGCTCTTACGTGTCGTAAGTGTAATACTCATGTTCAAACTGGTGGCAGGAACGTGGGGTCACTTCATATACACCTGTAAACAACAAGGCAAAGAACGACGTTGAAAAGTTCAAGCTTACTGTGTTGGACAAAATCTCTAAATCACATGAGACCTGAAGTATAGAAACAATTACAAAATTTGACTATTCAATTCACCTCTGTTCAGTCACAGATCACTGTTGGAAACTGCACAGAGTTTCTAATGTACACTGATACAAAACACAATTAGCCATCACTACAGAGAAACATAATTACAAATAAACCAAACCAGCCCTGAAGTAACCTATTATGGTCCCCTCTGACACCCTCTGACTGATTACAGAACCACTGTATTGTTGTATTGTGAATGAGACCACTGGCTCTAAGGATGAAATGTTCAAAGCTGAAAACTGAATGAAAACCAAATACATTTAGAAAATTTTTTAAATTCCCAGCAGTATTATTTGACTTGGTTATTTTTAGTTTTTTTAACTAATATTTTAGAGCTATTACCTGGCTTTGAAAGACAGAATCTATTAATTCCTTTGGACAAGTTATAAACACCAACATTCTCTGGTCCATTTCCATCCTGATAAAATTCCTGTGAAGCCAGAACACAATTCACTATTAGTAACTACCAAACAACAACATTAAAACAATATTTGCCTGAAGATATATTAATGCTTCTCTTTTATAGCAGCTAACACCTCAGGACCATTTTAACAAATCTGAGACAAATCCCAAAGCACTCTAAACATCAATGTCACTGTGCTATATGAGTCCCTAGACATGAGAAAGCCTTGACTACAAGCATAATCCAACCTATCTACACAAGTTCATTAAAAAAATACAAGGATGTTTGTCACCTACATACCAGTGTAATTGCATGAGAAAGAGAACACCTCAGCATATATCCAGTCTGCCTGAATTCTACTCCTGAAACATCTTCCTCCATGACTTCCAACTCCAAAGACTTATTCTTCCAGCACCAGTCTTCATGTACAATGCTTACTAGAATACACAGCACACAAAGCATTTTAGTCATGTAAAACTGTGTGAATAAGGGCAGGTTTTGTGGTGTAAAAAGCTGGTATCACTCTAACTTCCTTGACAATAATCTTCAAAGACAGATATGCAACAATGACTCTAGTCCCGGCTCACAGCACTGCAGCATCACCAGGAATGCAGCACATGTCCAGAAAAGCAATTATAAAAAGGAATAATGAAGTCTGGTCACCCTGGAAAGTTCTGCAATGTGCGCTACCATTGTGATAGTCAAAGAAGCGTAGAGGACATCAGAACCTAACTCCAATTTCATTTGGCAGAAAGACGTACTCACTCATGTATAAAAAGAGCAATTTGTATGTATTCCTTCTACACCCTTCCCTGGAAAACAATTTGTTTTCATAGTAGGCCAAGGCAGGCTGGGCAAAACATGCATTGCTCTTACGAGAGGTACTCTGGAAGCAAACCTAGGGTGTGTCCCTGTTCTTAGGCTTGGGACAAGTCAGTTGACGATAAAGCCCTTTTTCCTTGCACCAGCCATGTAGACCCTAAAATTTACGGGAGCACTCACCTGTAAACTGACAAAAGGGTTTAACATACAAGATTAAGAAAACTTGATGCACTGGTATACAGTATTTTTCCAGATTATCTCAAGTTTCAAAACTAGTTCCATTTTGGGCATAGCATAAACGATATCCATAATAACAGAAGTTTACAGATTAAGTCACAAACTTAGCTACTAAGGTAACACTTCAAGCAGTTCCCCATAACCCTACCTTTGTATTTGCCAGGTAGCACATTTTCAAATGTGAAGGCCACTGAATCCATGTTTCCAGACAGCTGCAGGTTGCGTTTTTCACCCTGGCGGCTCACAGAATGCAATGTCACCATCAGATCACCACAAGCATCTGTACAGAAGAGACAGCAGAAAATGAGACTGCATTCTGGCTTGCCTCCAAAACCCCCACTCCAAGCAAACTTCATGTGTGTAAAGATCACAATGATTACTGTCTCCCAGTAGAGAACATTTCCAGTTAAAACTCTTATTCCTTAAGCACATGTTTGCCAGTGCTTTTTTGCATTCTTCAGAAAGTTTGAGATTGTTAATCATACTCTTTTATCTAATGGCAAGTAACAACTAGAGGCCAAGATCAAATCCCTGGGGCCACCTTGCTCTGCAGAGACTACAGGGCCCAGAAAACACCTGAGAGACAGAACACCAAGTGCAGAGAGGATTCAGAGAGGAAAAAGAAGTGGTAAAAATTATGGAAGTCAAGCTCCAATCACCATCTGCTGAAATCAGTGGGTAATCAAGGAAAACAGCAGGAAAGAGGACCTTAGACTAAAAAAAACAGACAAAAAGCTTATGAAAGAAAAGAGACCACAAGCTTCTGTTAACAGCCTGAGCCTCTATCCTACAGGTTTTTACAGGCACTGCTTTTCTTTTTTTTTTATTGTCTTTTTTTGCCTCCGGTACTTCTCTGACTGATGTACAGTACCCTAGTGCCAGCCAGGAGCATTTCCTTCCAGAACTTACCCATCTTCTGAGGAAGGCAAACAGGTCAGAATTCCTTCCTGGGGAAGGAATACTTGCTTATTCCTAGCAAGTATTAAAAATAGGTACATAACTTTACTCCAGACTTTATTAAGGTACCTTATTACGCTGTAAGGTCTCCCAAAAAAAGAGCCGCTTTACCTATGTGCTGGAAGTTAATCTATCTGACGATGGGGCCAACCACAGCAAGTGTCCTGATCTAAACACCAGTCATTCACACACACGGTGCTGAAGCTCTCTGTTTCCATTTCCACTTCACTTTCCAAACTGGCTTACCTAAACAAGAGATCTTCCCTGAGACTGACGCCAAAAACTGAGAGAAGGTCACATCCATTACTGGTCTGTCTGTAACAGTTACAGGGAACGTTTTAGGTTTCAAAGCCAATCCTGCTCTGGTCTCAGCCTCTGGAATAATTACCTGTAGAGTATATGACATCAAGGCATCACCAGCTTTTAAATACCAGTCCAAAAGTACCCACTCTGCTGAGTTCAATCCACTTACCAGAAATTAGAAAATAGAAATTTACTGTAAATCCCAGGCAAAGCAGAACCAGCCTCCCAAATATGCTTTTCAAAATTCTGTATTAAAAATCCTCCAAAAAAATTCAAAAAAAATGAGCTAAAAATCCTCCAAACAGTTCAGTTTTAAAAGTTTGAGTGAATTTCACTTTGGGATATATCGCTTCTTCTGTATTTGGCCATTTCATTACCTATAAGGACAGTTAGAACCCTTATCTTCCATCCTGCACTATCTCCCACAATGCAAAATTCATGGTAGTTGTGCTACAGCTTCTGCTGTGACCTATAATCTCAGGAACCATTTAGGCACTGAGAAAGGTACACAGTTACATGTCTCACTCTTGAGATAAGAAGTGACCTAAGGGAGGAGAGAGAGATAAGAATTTTCAACCTCAATGGCCTGATCTTTTAACAAGTGTAAAGGACAAGAAGCATGGGAATCTCAGCTTATTAAGGAAAAAAAAAGGGAAATAAATGTAATTATTTAAATAGTGCAAACAGGAGAAAAGGACCGGGAAAATCTAAATTCAACTTCTCAAATTTTAGACATTAAATGTTAAAATCTTCTAAAACGTCATGACAGTCCTACAACGAAAAAATGGAAGCTCTTTCTTACCTGAACATTGTATGTACCCGATTTTGCCTTAAAACAAAATGCTCCATGAGGGTCAGTTTCTGTTGTAACCAGCGATGCTTTGTCCTTGTCTTGAGGTATCATGTTCACCTTGTATTTACTAATCTGTTTGACTGTGTCAGGGAAATGAGTTACTGAGATCCGGCCACACACGCTGAATCTGTCAAATAAAAGCCAAACACCAGAATAAGTATCTCAAATTGGTAAAGCTCATAATAAAAATACTTGTTTTAAACCTTCTTTAAAAAGCAAACCTCACTATGTTGAGGTACTAACACATTAACTGGAATTAATTTCCCTGAAAGAGAACATATAAAAGAGGTACTATAGGTGAACACTGGAGCACACACACTCATGTACAATTAACAGGATCTTTTCTTTTACAATTAAGTCACCATGATGTTATGTTTTTATTTGCAAGCAACTTGCTTCACTCTTCCCCCCCGCCACCAACCTAATAACTTCAAGCCTTTTTTTTTTTCTTTTTTGAGTTTTGTTTGGGTTTTGGCTTTGGCTTTTTTTTTTTTTTTTTTTTGGCTAACAGGCAATTGTCTTAGGACTGCCATCCCTCAGGTTTTAAACAGTTTGAAATGCTTTGTGTCAAAGACCTCAAATGTGATAGGTAATTCACTGGAACACAACCCTAGTACACCCAAGTTTGTGAAAATATAAGACAAGATGACAAATTAGAACCTGTTAAGTGTCACTTTTCACCTTCAACAGCACAACCTATTTAGTCACTGAGAAAACTGTAATTGTAACTGATCATTTAACAGCAGGTTTTTTTTCTAATTAATTTCTAATTTCTGTCTTAGCTAGCTAAGTCTGCATGAGGTTGTAGCCATTTGCCTCAGTATATTCCTAGCTTTCACTTCGCTGGAAGGTTGCCACTATTTTCTCTTCCAGGAGAAGCTCCTGGACAGAGACCATGCTCCTCTTGTCTCCCTCAGCTCACACTGTATCTCCCACCACTGCCTAACATTCTCAAAATCATCCTGTTACCACTATACAGGCTTATGCCCAGCAGTCAAAGAATCACAAACAATAAAAAGATAAGACAACTATGACCCTGAAAGTGATGAGTAAAAAAATTTAGACATTTGGTACAACACGGGACTAGACAGTTATGTAACTCCACTCTTGCACAGAAGGAGGGTATCTGAAGTGCAGCATCAGCAGCAGAAAGCCTCTGTCCCTTTCTTGGTTCATGTACAGCACTATAATTGCTCAACGCACCCGTGTCTTAGCACCTTCATTTGCAAGGGAGAGGTTATTAAGAGGGTGCTCTAAGCCTTAACTGGAATCGAGCAAAACACTGTGCACAAAACATTACCCTGCACTCCTGCTGTCCTATTTACCTTTAATTTCTCGAGCAGTACTTAGCTCCTGACAACAGTATGCAAGCCTGGGCATGACATGGGAAAGGATCACCCATTTTCAAGACCTCGTCCACACACCAAATTACATTTTCATCACGACACCAGTACTTACCCTGTTGCAATGATGTTTGCTAGCTGAGGTGTATTTGGTGCAATCTTCACTGTAAGGGTATCAAAGAAGAGATGCTCTTTCCTGGCGTGAATTGTGTATGTGCCTGTTGTTATGTTCTCAAGGCGGAAAGAGCCATCAGCTTTTGTTTTCACTGTAACAAATAAAGAGATGAGTTAAAAAACAGAGCCTGTCTTGACTGTCTATCCTTGTGTCAAAGAGCTGGAAGGCAGGCACTGCTCTGGGCTATTTTTAATTTACATTAAACTACAAAGAAAGAGGATTATGCTTTCTTAATACATCAACCGTCATTTCTGTATTTCAAAGCACAATTTGGCATATGGTTGAAAATAAGAAATTTTCTACAGCAAAACAAATGAACACCTAATACACTCATCTAAGCCAGAAAATTCAAAATTAATAAATTCCATGAAAACCAATTTAACATTGTAAATAAATTGCAACAGAAGTAGTGTATTATCCTGAAGGCTTAATTCCATCTCACACACCAGTCCTGTACTTAAGCTTAATTCAGGCTTCCCTGTTGCAACAAAGACCTAGACCACCACGTACCTTTAATCTGATTGTTCAGCGTCACAGTGGCATCAGCAACTCCTTCTCCTTCAGGACCATTCAACACCCTGCCTGTGACAGAGAAACCCATCACATGGAAAACAGGCTGAAACAGGAAAAAAGTTAACATTAATCTTTACTCAGTAAGAGCAAACACACACCTATAGCAATCAACAAAGACTGTTTTCCCCACACACACATATAAAGGGAACTTATTGCCAGCTTTAGGAAAAAAATTATCAGGATAATCACAATTAAAGTATATCTCAATTTCCAGCTATATTGTTCCCCCAAGTACAGGAACGGAGTCTCAATTTATCTGCATCAGCACAGTTCAGAAGGCCCAAGTCACAGACCATAATGCCATTACACAAGGCACTCTGCAAACCAGCAAACTTCCAGGCTCTTCTCCAGAGATACAACAATCTGAATGAGCACGTTTAAGCAACCTGAAAGATTATTGCGTGTTTCCAACATGCACATGAAAAGTGAGCATAGCAGACAGCTTTTCCCTATTTTGTTTCTTTCTAGTAAAAGAGACTGAAGTGTAGAAACGCAGTACGATGCCAGATACTGTCTCCTACCTGCTGTGCAAGAAGGTATGCGTAAGAAACATCTTCACGTTTCTTACAAAGAAGTTTTTCCATAACACACCTGCTTTCTGCTAAAATCAATTATACTTTTATAGGAATGAATGGCACAAAAAGATTATTTCCTCTGAATGCCTTACCTCAATTTGTAAACTGTCATGCTCTACCAGGAAGTCCAGTCTCGAAGGAGCAACATCAAAGGTAATTCGCTCTCCCCTGTAGAATGGTATCTGAAAGAAGACACATTGTTTTGACTCCTAAGAAGCTATGACCACCGAATTGTTTTCTTTTACCATTTTCCATGTTGTTACCACCATCAGACATCCCTATGAAGGGCTGAACGGGCTGCAAACCTCCTGGAAAAAATAACTCAGAGGGATGGGCACAAGAATAAAGGCAGTATTTCAAGACTGTTTAATGGAAGCCATATGAGATTACCCAAAGAGACAGAAAAGTAACCCTCTGCTCAGCATAGAGCAAAGGTACTTGGATGTACAAGAGCTTACAGATAGGAGACTGTGATCACTAGAAGGGTTAAAAGGAATGACAGAAGTTTGAATCCCACTTCTAGATCATGCAGACTGAGAATGCAGATCATTCAAGGCAGCGCATAGACAGCCATGCTCCCACACTACCCAGACACAATAAAGAGAAGGGGCAAAAAAGAAAACAGAGAACTCAAAGGACATGAGGTGGCTGTAGTCAGCTGAAACTTTTGTCTCCCAGTAACCGCTAGGTGTGGTTCTGCAACTGGCCAATGTATTCAGGTAATTGAAAACCCAATTTGCAAATAAATCCTTCCTCAGAAACCACACCACAGAGCCCTATCACAGCACTTACACCACTGTCATATACATTAGGTTGGAGGTTCCTGTTCCAATTACTTCATCCAATTCAAAACATTTTAACTATTTCTGTTCTAACAGCTACAAAGCTACATATGATCTAGTTTATAACATGAAATTTAATAACCCAATGGATGAACAAGCAATGAATTTTCTAGCTACTTACCACAGTGTATTTCCCGCTTGGCAGAGAGAGAAAGCTGAAAGATCCATCTTCTTTTGACACAACATTGCACAAATAGGACAGAGATTTATCCCTTGACTGGAATCCATCCACAGGAGAAGTATTGCAGCCCACAACATCCTGTGGCAATAAATGCAATACAACTTTTTTCCCATGGGAGAACAGAGTAAATAATTTCAGGGGGGATATAGGAGGGTTCAAAATACTATACTGTGAATGAAGGATGGGAAGTACAAAACCATTTTAGAGGTGAAGTTTGATAGCATGCTTTACAATTCACGTATAGGTAAAAGAGGAAAAAATAACCAATAATCAACTTCATGGTCACAAGGACAGAAAACTGGGAAATTCAACATCCCCCAGTACCCCAGAACTTCACTGCATGCCTTAACATTATCTGACTTCAGTTCCGTGGACAAGGTTAACGTTACAGAACAGAGCTCTACTCCACATAACAAATCACCATACATGACCAAACATTTCACAGTCATTTCATAACACACTTTTAAGGTGGCAATAGAAGCTGTTGAACTTTGTCTTCACATCAAGAGGGCAAAGAGCAATTAAGACCTCATGCTGAAGACATATTATAGCTACTGTACAAGTGAACTTCAGGATTTGTCTGGCAACATCTTGTGCCTTGTGCCAGAAGCTGGTCTTTCACCATGCAGGAGCGTCATCCTGAACACATTTACTAATCAACGTTTAACATGCGAAAAGATGTAACTGGAAAAATATTGTCTTTAAATTGTAGCCCTTAACCCTGATGACACACAGGGAATACACAGATCAGTAATATGCTGTGAACCATATTTTGTTCTGCACTTGTTGCTCGCTTCAGTTCAGGTCTTAGTCTTATATGTCCCTGAACAGCCTGATAACATGTTGAGGAACCTGGCTGTTTGAAACAATAACAAAGACCTCAAAAGAGTTGAATTTAAAAGGATTTTCTAATTTCTTGTGTCCGAAAAATATGTAGATCTTAGCGTTCAATTTTGCCAACATTTAAACAAATAGCTATTGCGTTACACACTCGAGTAATTCCATGGAGGTCACGTGAAAACTCAGCTTGGACACAAATGTTGTATTACAAGGTCCTTGCTGAAAAAAAACAGAACAGACTCGAAAACCAAACAAAAAAAATACAGAAGCTATTTAGCTGCTTCATATTTACCTCCATACTCATATTGGAAAGATACCAATACACCGTTACCTCTTTAGCGACTGAAGAAGAGAAAAGGAGAAACATGACTCCTTTCATTGGTTCTCCATCACTCCTTACTGACCCAGAAACGTTGTAGCCAGCAACAATCAGAGGGCTAGCAGCATAAGCATTAGAACTCGTCACCCGTACCACTGTGTTTGACTGAAATACAGAAACACATACATTTTAATCAAAAGTAGGCATTAGATCTCATTTGCACCACCTAAATAACAATCAGAAGCGGTATATTCAATAACAGAGGCCAGAGCAGCAGTACTCAGAGACAGTCTTTTTCCTGTTTCATTGATTTAGGAGTTGGTCAGGATCTCAGAGGTCCTCAGAAAGCAAGCAGTCTGACACAGAAGGATTAGAGCATCTGCTATAATGCTCGAGCTCCTGCAAAACGTATAGGATTAGACAACCAAAAGCAAGAGCTCATTTGCCAGTCATTCCCTGGCTGGCTCCACAACCTCCAAACTGGGCCTGCACAGGGCAGTGTCATGACTACCTAAATTAAATTTATGAAAACTCCATTAATCCTGTCCACTCACAAAAACCCTTCCTCAAACTAGTCAATTAAGACAAGGTCTAGCAGATCCACCCTCACTAAATAGGTAAACCAGAACTTTTTGTAGGCTCTAACCTCTTTCAGCATCCAGGTAGGATGAGATGCAAAGATTTCATACTCTCCAGGAAGCACTTTAAAGAAAGCAAACCTGTAAGGCAAGAGAGGGATTACATCTCTTCACAAATAGTCACAAACATTTCTCTACAGAAAAACAATTCAGACTCTATACACATTAGAAAAAATATTTCAGAACTACTATAACCCCAGTCGATATGGCAGAATTGAAAGAATCTTGTGTAAATGAACAGTATGCACCACCCACACTCACTTTCCTCCAGGTTGTGTAACAGTTGCTTGTAAGTTTATGTCACTGCCAGCATTTCTCAGTACAACCTGGACTCCAGCAGGACCTAATGTCTGACCTTTGCTGAGAACCTGTCAAAATTAAGAGAATCCAGTGTACAAACAGATAAAAATAACTTGCAGAGCTGGAGTAGAATGTTTTTATGAAGCTAGAATTTGCATAAAGATATGGAATAAAGATAAAGGAGTCTAACCTTTCCGTTCACAGAAAACCCCGTGAACACAAAGTTAATATCACCTCCCTTTGTGCAAATGTCATTAATGCCATCCACATGGATGTCTACACTGGTTGGTTCTGGAGGAGAAGAACAATGAAACAGCATGGTAGTTAGTGAGAGAGCAATCGTGAAGCAATTCTACTTTAGCTTTACAAAACTCTCACAGAAATGCATTAACTCAAGCACACAGATGTTGCTCTGGAAGTCCTGCCTCAGCAAAGTTAAAGCACACTCAAATCCTCTTTCCCCCTCCCATTGCAGCCACTTCTGTCAAAAACCCACATTTCTTCCAATCAGTTCATGGGTTACTTTGTCAATGTTTACCTTATAGCTTTATTTTCCTCTGGTACAGTAAGTACATTTTAGTTATTTAACCAAAAGTAGGGCTTATCTCTTTTGAAAGGTGCTTGAATTTCCCTGCCAACTGCAAGGTAGAGATAGTTAAGTCCCACACTGCAGATACACTATCCCATTGTAAGAAGACATATAAGCACTTACCGAAACTCCACCCTAGGGGAGGCTCAATTTTAAGAATGAAATCCCCCTAAAAATAAAAAAGCAATAACTGTCTTCACTGATCTAAATTCAATTTAGCTAAAGGATAAAAAAAAAAAGTCATAACACAAGCATCATGCTGCTGAGAGTAACACAAGACTCAACTGTCCCATTCTCCTTTTCTCCTACCCAAGATACTCTGCTCAAAGAAGCAGCAATATCTACCCGGACAGGCTGGAATGCTGGGCTCGCATCCAGCCAGCTAAGAAGAAAAATTAAGTCTTATCACGCTTATGCTGCTTCCAGACCAAACTTGGCTCATGTTCAACAGCTCAGTGTTAGCAAGTGTTCAAATCTATCTCTACCTGCCCCAACAGATGTTCTCTAAATCAGCCTTTAGTATTTCCACTAGGAGGTCCTACCAACCATTCTGCCCAAAGATGGGATAACAAAATTTCAATCCTATTAAAAGCTCTGCACCAAAACAATATTAATCTACACAGAGATCCTCTTTAAATCAGTAGGCACTGCATATGTTCTACCACATATGTGAAGTTTATCCATGGAAAGGCTCAAAGACCTAAGAATGAAATCACTGAAGTCAGAGAGCATCTTACATTCTCAGATTTGGAAGGGAAGGATTTATTTCTGATCCCTGAGTTAATTAGCTCCTTAAAAGAACAAAACATTTAGACCATCTGAGGGCAGCTTGTTAGCACCTTTCTAGTCTAAAAAGACATTGAACTTCTGATACATTCTGAGCTTCCTGTATCATTATTGTCTTAAGATATTTTTATATCTGCAATTAGTCATTTGAGTCATTTTCAATTCAGCCATATCAAAACACATTCTCATACAGATTTATTTTCATTTCTACAGGTAGATAACAGAAAACTTTATATGCACTCTGTAGGAACCTGTGCTTTTTGTGCAGTATTTGTACTGCTGCTGGCACACGGCTGCTGGCAATAACTCCAGCTCTAGATCCTGCCACCATTCAGATAAATCACAAAAAGACAACACCACAGCTCAAGCTACCTGGCTTTTCCCATTAGAATACTTAGCACTGAGGAATAAAATAGTTGCATTACAAAAAGAAACAGCTGAAAGTTGGGTCCAGAACAAACAAAATCACGCCCTGATTCAACCGTTTCAGAGGCAGGTGGTGTTCGGGCCGCTCCCCCGCAGCTCCTCACCTTATCGTAGAGGGGGATCATGAAATACCCGTTGATCGGAGCGCAGTCCGTCTGGTATTTGAGAGTACCATGCTTTGTGTACAACTTAATCTATAACAAACAAAACAAAAAGACAAAAAGAGACTTTTTTAAATGCAAGCAAAGCCGGGCGCAGGCATCCCCTCCCCAAGCGCTTCCCCACAGCAGCACCCCCGGGAAAGGTTCACTGCAGGAGGACCACCACCGGCCGGGAAAAGCCGGCAGAGCTCATCCCGGGCTCGGAGGAAGGCGAGGAAAGAGCCTCGCTTCAACCGAACCCACGCCGCAAGCTGTCAGCTCAAGCAGCGGCCAGGAAAGAGAGGGTCAGTCACGGCAGCGCCGGG